CCCCCCCCCACAAAGTTAGACAAGATGCTTAACTCAAACAAGCTAAATCAATTCACTAGTAAGCCATTCCCATGCAAATCCACCTCCGGACAGCTTGAATCTAGCCAAAATAACTTAATATCATAAATAAAATTCATAAAAAATAATTTTGAATAATAAATTTTTGATCTTTAATGAAAATCAAAAAGTCAACTAAAATAGTCAACCCAAGGCTTGCACCCCAGAACCTGACGAAACTCACAAATTTCAAACACCCACTCCGATGCGAATCCAACCATACCAAAATCACCCAATTCCAACCTCAAATCGGCATTCAAATCATCAATTTATGTTTTAGAAAAGTTTTTTGTACTAAAATTCCCAATTTCTTCGATTCAAATCATCAATCGAACGATAAAAATGAGGTTGGAATCATGAAACATAAGCAAACCGAGTCACAAATACTTATCCCAATCCAAATCGTGAAAATCCCCTCCAAAATCGCCCAAAACGGAGTTCTCTATCTTGAAATGTGATAAAATAGGCAAAACACTTGAAATAGAGTATTAAATAGGTCTGCCCAGGTATACACATCGAGATACCCACGCGAACGCGAAAAACAAAAATGCATAGTTGCTGAACTCTTTTTCACGAATGCAACATACCCGTCGCGAAAGCGGTGACAATCTCCCATTGCCTACGCGAATGCGCCCTTGCACCCACGAACGCGATGAACAAATGTGTGCCACCCCAGCCAGACCTACCTTCTACGTGAACGCGGCTCCCCGCTCGCGATCATGATGACTCAGCCTCCCCAAGCTCCGCGAACGTGTCCCACACTTCGCGAATATGAAAGGCAAAAACCACCTGCCTCCAGTTAACCCCATGCGATCGCGACTTCTTCTTCACAATCGTGAATGAGAAAACCAGACACCAGGTGACAACAATCCAAAACAAGAGAAAATGACCCGTGGCCCATCCGAAAGATACCCGAGGCCATCGGGACCCGCTCCAATCACACCAACCAGTCTCAAAACATAATACGAACCTACTCGAGGCCTTAAATCATACCCAAACAACATTAAAACTATGAATCACACCTCAATTCAAGCCTAATAAACTAATAAATTTTTAACTTCTAAAACTCATGCCGAACCATGTCAAATCAATTCGGAATGACTTCAATTTTTTCATGCAAGTCCGAAATCACATAACGGATCTATACCAACTTCCGAAACCATAATCTGAGTCCGATATCAACAAAGTCAACTCGCATTTAAACCTATCAACCTTCCAAACCTTCAATCTTCCAATTTCTGTCAAAAAGCATCAAATCAACCTACAGACCTCCAAAACCACACCCGAACATACACCTAAATTTAAAAATTACCATATGAAGTTACTAGAATCATCCATACACCATTCCGGAGTCTTCTATATAAAAGTCAAATTCCGGTCAACTCTTACGACTAAAGCCCTCAACCAAGGGACTAAATGTCCCAAATCAATCCAAAGCTCTCCCGAAATCATACTAATCAATCTCGCAAGTCACATAACCATAAATACACATATGTAAAACATCAACTAGGGGAATCTCTGCTAAAATACTCAAAACGATCGACCGGGTCGTTACACGAAATCACTAACACATGATCTACCTAATTAATATTCCACTAAATGTTAAGTAATTATCTATCAATTCCATGATTTCATGTTTTTACAACTTTATTATTTCACTAAATTCTTAGTTATTCTATGGAAGAATACCCACGCCTATAATTAGAAGTATGTCTTCCTTGCAAGTGATGAATGAAAAAAGTGTTAATAATGTGTATCAAAAAGGGAGTTGTAGAAAGAAAGAGATTGTGAGACAAACAATCAGAAATCTCCAACGCATTCACTATAAGAAAAAAAGAGGGTACTATTACTTGTAGAAGAAAGGTGTTATTTGCAATGGAGCTTTAAACTCAATCACTAGTTAGTGCTGTTTAAATATCTTAGTAGGAATAAGTCAAGAGTGTACTCGTGTATTTAAAATTTGTGCTCTTGTTTTATTAATTTTTTACTAACTTTTTCGATCTAGTATTTTGTTTATTTTGTTTCTTCTTAAATTAAACAACAATTTATTTCTCTTTCGCTTTAAGTGTGAATACTTAGATCATATGTAATTGCCTAAGATTATCTTAGAAGTAATTAATGTCTCATCCTCGTCCTCGTAGTTGTATTAGCTAGTAGTAATAATACTAATACTAATAATAATACTAATAATAATAATAATAATAATAATAATAATAATATCCCTTTTTTCTCAGAGTGCATTTTATGGTTGATATTTTTTTTCTCAACAACCCCAATACCATAATGGACCAATATGATCATAACCTGCTTCATCAGTTAATTGCCTGTAATGTTTCAATTTATTTTGATTTTACAGGGTTATATGAGCATTTTTTTCTGTTATGCTATGTACATACAAATATTATTTTTTTGTCATTAGCAAATATTACTTTATAAGTATTTGTTCATTCAGCGTGGTCACGGTATGAACGATCCAAGTCTGAAAGCATAAGAAGTAACAAAATCCAATTCAATAGGAAATCTATCAATACAAAAGATATTGACCAATTAAAGTGTACAGTACTAAGATCTTCTGCATGATCCATGCCATTTTCCACCAGATTATATTCCTAGTTATTTTTCTTTTTCTTTTCGATCGTTTTCTCCTTGTTTTTCATGCCGTTTGATGATTACACAAGGATTAGTTAAAATGGAAAGAAAGGACTTCTTTGTTTGATGCATATTTTAACGTGAAAGAAGAATTTATTTAATAAGAAAAGGCCTATCCTACATCCATTTGGAGGAAAATGTTCTAAGGAAGCTTTAACTGGAGAAGAGTAAGCACCTCTTCCTATAATAAAAAAAATATATACGTACGTACTAAGAAAGAAAAATTAGACTAAAATCCTGAGAAAGATTCTGCCTTCTTTCATTATATTCACCTCAAGCATATATAACCCAATAGAAAAGCAGTCGTTTTCATTGACCATGAGTTTGTAATGCTTTTCACATTAGATTCAAGTTTGAACTTTGATCCCTAGTCTCCCGAAAACAATTCACTCTGTGGCAATTGTAGTTATCTACCAGGGTTTAACAGGAAACTTATGTTTATGAGTAAATGCATTTTTTAAAAACTTTTTCTGCTCTTTTTTCTTTTGGAATTTATGAAAGGGGATATGAAATTAAATATGCAAATGCTTTTGCACCACATTATTGCACCAAAACAAACTATGAGCAGTTGGACATCAGTGTCCAATTTTCGTTAAAGTGTAGGGATAGGTATGTGAACCCCAAGTTCTAGATCCGGTATTTGATAAAAGTAATTTAGTTCTTAGATGAAAATACAGCGGTAAGCATGACATTTAGGGCCTGTTTGGCCATTAAAAAAGATTCCCTTTTTTCGATTTTTTCTACTTTATTTTTTAAATCAGTGTTTGCCATAAAATTTTCGATTTTCACTTGAAGATGAATTTCGAAATTTTTTAAAAAATTTAAAAACTTCAAAAAGTTATTTAAAATTCTCATCTCAGATCGCTTACAAAAAATCAAAAATAACCCAAAATTTTATGCATGTCCAAACACAACTCTAATTTTCAAATATTATTTTTATTTAAATTTTTTTTTACTTTTTCAGAAATTTTACAATTCTTATGTCTAAACGCTCACTTAGAATAATTTGAGTTTTGAAGAGAAAATATTAAGTAGTGGAAGAAAATGGGTCAAATGAAAGGCAACAAGTTTGAGACTGACACACCACGCAATTATACAAAAGTGTGGTTTTGCCACCATAATGATAAGTTGACAAGTGATGCACAACAGAACAAAGCAACAAAGATTCATTCTTTCAGTCAATAAACGATTTAAAGGTCTAATTATGAAGCAATTAAAATGAAAAATGTAACCTTGAAGGGTTGTGGTGGAGTGAGTTCCTTAATCTTTAACCGGAGGTCTCGGGTTCAAGTCCCTATGTATGGAATTGTCTTTGTTAGGGAGCGCTTTACTTCCAATATAACAATTTCCTATGCGAATCCGAATTTAATCGGTCTCAAATATGGGTACCGGACACCGGACGAGAAAAAAATAAAATAAAAATGTAGCAAGTCTCATCCCTCTCCCATAGTCTCTTTGGGCCCCACAAACCCCCAATAAATAGCGACCTTTGGAGGCCTCCTGAGAAAACATCACAGTGGTAGCTTTCGAACTATTCTTATTCCCAGGAATTTCTAGCTTTTTTTTTCACTATTATTTCCCTATCTTTCCAATTCTAATATAATAACATCAACAGTGTCAACATGGTTTGCCAAAGCAATCAAGTGGTGCAACAAGTCTGCGAATTGTACGAAAAGATCACCAAATTGGAAAGCTTGAATCCGTCCAAGGATGTCAACATGCTGTTCACAGAGCTTGTGAATACGTGCATGCCCCCAAATCCTATTGATGTTTCTAAGCTCTGTCAAAAGATTCAAGAAATTAGGTCTCATCTCATCAAGCTCTGTGGTGAAGCTGAAGGACTTCTTGAAAGTCATTATTCCAAGATTCTTGGCTCCTATGAAAACCCTCTTCACCATCTTAATATTTTCCCATATTTCGACAATTACATCAAACTAAGCTTGCTTGAGTTCAACATCCTCACCAAACAAACCGCCATAACCCCGGCCCGAATCGCCTTCGTTGGATCGGGCCCTCTCCCTCTAACTTCTCTGGTTTTAGCTACCAAGCATCTTAAGAGTACCTACTTTCACAATTATGATATTGACTCTGCGGCCAATTATATGGCGTCCCGCCTCGTGGCATCTGACCCTGACTTGTATGAGAGGATGACTTTTCACACTACAGATATCATGGATGTAACGTGTCCCTTGAAGGAATATGATGTTATCTTCTTGGCGGCCCTCGTGGGGATGGACAAGGAAGAAAAGATTAAGGTCGTTCATCATTTGGCTAAGTATATGGCTCCTGGAGCAATACTGATGCTGAGAAGTGCACATGGTGCGCGCGCTTTTCTCTACCCTGTCGTCAATTCTCGTGATCTCAAAGGCTTCGAGGTTTTATCTATCCACCATCCAACAGACGAGGTTATTAACTCTGTCGTTATTGCTCGTAAGTTGCCGCTGCAGCCACTTGATCAAGGATTTGGGTCCATTGTGCTTCCGAGCAAATGTGCTTGTGCTGAGATTCATTCGTTCAATCATATGAATAGGGTTAACGTGATTGAAGAATTGTCACTAGAGGAGCAACTTTCTTGAAGAGACTCATATGATATGTTGGTGATTTGATTTATGTTTTATTTGTGTCCCACTTGGAGTTGTAGCCCTTAATTTCCATTTTGGTTCTCAGTGCTTTCCTGCTTCCCTAACCGTTCGATCCACTTCCTGAACGTGTCCCATTATCCCTTTGTCTCATCTCTAGGAAATAAGATGACCATTCGGCATTTGTTTTGGTGAATTTTGTTCAAACCTCTATCCATATGAATGCATTAATCATGATGAATTGTGTCACGGCTCGGAATTCCCAACCCGGGATCGTGATAGCATCTAACATCCATTTGCTAGACAAGCCAACATTAGTACACAATTGATCATTTTAAAACCAATCAGTAAGTAATTTAATAAGAACTAAGATTGTAGAGTTTTAAAAGACAGATATAATAAAGCAGAACCATGATGTAAACTGCGTACCCCAGTCAGAGATAATAGATACCAGTACGCCTTGAAGCCTGACGATCTCGCGGATGTAAATTTGAGCCAGCTGCTCGGAAGAATAAGTAGTCATCACAGGAATGAAATGACCTGACTTGGTCATCCTATCCATAATCACCCAAACTGTATCAAACCTCCGCTGAGTTCGTGGAAGTCCAACAATGAAATCCATAGTGATCCGCTCCCATTTCCATTCCGAAATCTCCAACTTCTGAAGTAACCCACCTGGTCGCTGATGCTCATACTTCACCTGCTGGCAATTTAGGCACCGAGCCACATACTCCACTATGTCCTTCTTCATCCTCCTCCACCAGTAATGCTTCCTCAAGTCCCGATACATCTTTGCGGCACCCGGATGAATAGAGTACCGCGAGCTATGAGCCTCCTGAAGAATCCACTCACGCAAACCATCTACATTAGGCACACATAGCCTGCCCTGCATCCTCAATACGCCATCATCCCCAATAGTTACCTACTTAGTATCACCATGCTGAACCGTGTCCTTAAGGGCAAACAGATGGGGGTCATCATACTGACGCTCCCTAGTACGATCATAAAGAGAAGACTAAGAGACCACACAAGCCAATACTCGACTTGGCTCAGAAATATCCAATCTCACAAACTGGCTGGCTAAGGCCTGAACATCCAATGCCATCTCTGCTGTTGGTAGATATGCTAAGCTCCCCAAACTCTCTGCCCGACGACTCAAAGCATCGGCCACCACATTGGCCTTTCCCGGGTGGTACAAAATGGTGATATCATAATCCTTAAGTAGCTCCAACCACCTCCGCTGGTGCAAATTAAGATCCTTTTGCTTGAACAAATGCTGCAAACTCCGATGATCAGTGCAAATCTTACAAGGAACTCCGTACAAATAGTGGCGCCAAATCTTCAGGGCATGAACAATGGCGACTAACTCAAGGTCGTGGACAGGATAGTTCTTCTCATGCACCTTCAGCTGTCTAGACGCGTAGGTAATCACCCTACCGTCCTGCATCAACACCGCACCTAGACCAATTCACGATGCATCACAATATACAATGCAGGACCCCGAAACTGTAGGCAATACTAATACTGGGGCTGTAGTCAAAGCTGTCTTGAGCTTCTGAAAGCTCTCCTCACCTTCCTCTATCCACCTGAATGGAGCACCCTTCTGGGTCAGCCTGGTCATAGGTACTGCAATAGATGATAATCCCTCTACAAAGCGACGGTAATACCCTGCAAAACCAAGAAAACTCCGGATCTCTGTAGCTGAGGACGGTCTGGGCCAACTCTGCACTGCTTCAATCTTCTTCGGATCTACCTGGATCCCATCACTCGATACTATATGACCCAAGAATGCCACTGAGTCTAGCCAAAACTCATACTTTGAAAATTTTGCATATAATTTCTTTTATCTCAAAGCGCAGTCCTCAGGCACTGCTCATGATCCTCCTGACTCCGGGCGTATTCCAGAATGTCGTCAATAAACACAATGACGAAAGAGTCGAGATAAGGCCAGAACACACTGTGCATCAAGTGCATAAAAGCTGATGGGGCATTGGTCAGCCCAAAAGACATCACAAGGAACTCGTAGTGACCATACCGAGTCCTGAAAGCAGTCTTTGGGATATCTGGCTCCCGAATCTTCAACTGATGATAGCCTGAACGTAAGTCAATCTTGGAGAACACTCTGACACCCTGTAACTGATCAAATAAGTCATCAATACGAGGCAATGGATACCCGTTCTTTACTGTAACTTTGTTCAGCTGGCGATAATCAATACACAAACGCATAGAATCATCCTTCTTCTTTACAAACAAGACTAGAGCACCCCAAGGTGACACACTGGGCCGAATGAAGCCCTTATCAAGGAACTCCTGCAGCTTCTCCTTCAACTCCTTCAACTCAGGAGGATCCATACGGTATGGAGGAATAGAGATGGGCTGAGTGCCCAGCAATAAATCAATGCCGAAATCAATATCTCTGTCGGGAAGCATGCCCGGAAGATCAGCTGGGAACTCATCTAGAAATTCCCTCACTACTGGAACTGACTCAACTGTAGGAGTATCAATACTGACATCTCTCACATAAGCTAGATACGTGTCACACCCCTTCTCAACCATTCGTTGAGCTTTAAGAAATGAAATAACTCTACTGGGAGTATCCTCTAAGGTACTTCTCCACTCTAATCGCGGTAAACCTGGCATAGCCAGCGTCACGGTCTTAGCATGACAATCAAGAATAGCATAATGGGGCGACAACCAGTCCATGCCCAAAATTATATCAAAGTCCACCATGCTGAGCAATAATAAATTGGCTCCGGTCTCAAAACCACTAAGAGAAATCAAGCACGACCGATACACGCGGTCCACAACAAGAGAATCTCCCACAGGAGTAGACACATAAACAGGGAAACTCAAGGAATCTCGAGATACGCCCAAATACGTGGCAAAATAAGAGGACATATAAGAATATGTAGAGCCTCGGTCAAATAATACTGACGCATCTATATGACAGACTAGGACAATACCTATAATGACAGAATTAGAAGTGACTGCCTCTGTACGAGCAGAAAGGGCATAATATCTGGCATGGCCTCCCCCTCTAGGGCGACCTCGACCTCCCCGACATCCACCTCAAGCTGGCTGAGCAGGTGGGCGGTAGCTTGTGCTAGAATCATAGCCTGAGAACCCGGTAGAGCACGTTGTGCCTGAGAAGTCTATAGAGGTGCACCCTTCCTAAATCTGGGGCAATCCCTCACTATATGGCGAGTGTCGCCACACTCAAAATAAGCTCTAGGAGGGCGTGGCTGCTGTGGCTGGCTCGGGCCAGATCTGCTGGATTGGCCGCTAGGAACACCCCCGTGAAGGAGGCACACTAGATACTGGTGGTGCATAATAAGGCTCCTGGGGCCTAGAAGGGGCTGGAACACCGTTGGTGGCTGGAAAAGCTGAATGGACGGGGTGGCTCACATAACCCCTACCATGGTGAGCTACTGGGGCACGAGCACCAGAATAAGAACCAGTCTATCGAGACCTCTTGGCCTCCCTCTCCTCTCTACCCCGGGCAAACATGCCTTCTAATATCTTGGGAATACTCACAACCTGTTGATAAGAAATATCCATCTCCAACTCCCTAGCCATACTAATTCGGATACTAGGGTGGGGTCCCTCAATAAACCGTCGAACCCACTCTCGAACTGTGGCAACCAATGCCCGTGCATGTTGGGCCAATTCAATGAAGCGGATTGCATACTCTAACACAGTCATAGCACCCTCGCGCAGCTGCTCAAACTCCGCGCGCCATGAGTCCCTGAGGCTCTAAGGGACATACTCTCTCAAAAATATGTCCGAGAACTGAGTCCATGTGAGCGAAGCTGCCTCATCCAGACTACTCAACTCATAAGTGCTCCACCACCGATAGGCTGCTCCTCTAAGCTGGAAGGTGGTAAAAGAAACCCCACTCGTCTCCGCTACGCCCATAGTACGGAGAATATGATGACACTCCTCTAGAAAACCCTGAGCATCATCTGAAGCTAATCTGCTGAAAGTAGGTGGGTGGTACTTCTTGTACCTCTCAAGTCTGAGCTGCTCCGCCTCAGAAGCGGCTTCCATGGTCTCATGCTAAACCGGAGCTACTGGCGGCATAGGAATGAACTCTGGGGCCTGGTCAACCTGGACCCTCTACTCAGGAGTGCGGGCTGAGGGAGTCTGTTCCCCTCCCCCGGCCTGAGATATGGCGGGAGCTAGTGGGATCAATCCAGCCTGAGCTAAAGTGCTGAACATGATCATGAATTGGGCTAGAGTCTCCTGGAGGGCTGGTGCAGCAATAGANTGGTCGTCCTCGGCCTCTACCCCGACCTCGGCCTCTCGCGGCTCTAGCAGGGGCGCGAGTGCTTGGTCTTCAGATCCCCCTGTACGTGTCCTCACCATCTGTGAGAGAATAGAATACAGAAGTTTAGAATTTCGAAGGCAACAATTTCGCACGACAAGGAATCAAAGAAGTATAATTTTTCTAACAATTCCATAGTCTCCCGAAGATAAGTATAGACGTCTCCGTACCGATCTGCGAAACTCTAATAAACCGGCTTGTGACGCACGACACCTATGAACCTAAAGCTCTGATACCAACTTGTCACAACCCAAACTCTCTCTGTATAATGTCGTGACGGTACCTAGTCTCTACGACTAGGTAAGCCTAACAAATTGCAGAAATATAATAAAAATGAAAGTAAAACTTAGCAACTAACAGTAGTGGATATCTGAATAACTAATAACAATGCCGCTCGGCATGTACAATAACCAATACTCTATAATACATAGTCTTCCCAAAACCCGAAACAATGTAAGTCATAAGTACAGAAGGAAACTAGTATCTCTATACACCAGAGTCTAACAAAAAGAAGTACGGAAGGTAATTGTCATAGAAGAGAATAGAGGGGGACTCCGAGGTCTGCGGACACGACAAATGTACTTTGAAGTCTTCGTACAACAGCAAGCACTCTCAACTAATAGCGGGGCTAATAAGTAGTACCTGGATCTGCACACAAAAACATCTGCAGAAGAGTAGCATGAGTACACCATAACGGTACCCAGTAAGTGCCAAGCCTAACCTCGGTATAGTAGTGATGAGGTCAGGTCCGGGCCCTACTGGGATATAATAATAAAACAGATGCTATAATAAAAATGAAGTGAAACGGAGAAGACAATAACAAATAATTACAAAGCAATAACAACACCGCACAATGATATAGCAA